CAAGATTTTCCTTGCTTGCTCTGCTTGGACACTACAAAGCAGAGGATTGCATTTTATCGCTCTAATGGCAATATATGCCTGGCCCAGCTTGTAACCAGAGGAGGTATTTGTAGCCTGAAGGACAAATTCTGTGTTTCTGGCTCTGTGTGACAGGCCAAAGCTGATGAATGGTTGGATGTGTCCTACTGAAGGGATTTGTGCATCTGTGATGCATGCAAAGCATAGTTGGGGACTTCTGGTTATATGCCTGCCATGTGAGCTGTAGAAGATTTCTGTTTTGTTTCTGAGGAGGTTTCTCTCTGTTTAGTGAGAACAGATTAAGCATTGTTTTGGGATTTTGGTAAGAGGCTAGTGCAATAAACACTGCTTATCTCTGGGACCGTAGTTCTGCAACTGGTATACAAAAAAAACCCTAGCCCTAATCAGTGCAAATTATCTTGATTCCAGGATAAGATTTTCCAAAATCAGGTTTATCTGGCTGCACGTTCATAGGCTGAATCTTTCAGTGGTTTAGGGCTGTTTGTATAGCTGAGGAAGGTTGGTTGTTGTTTTTCCTTTCTTCCCAGATGTAGGCACTTGGAACACCCTAGGAATTTAAAGTGCTGCTTTTATGCACAGCATGCTATTTTCAGGGTATACTCCAGGGAATAGAGCAACACTAGGACACGATGCAGAGAAATCTCATCTGGAGGAAAATCAGCTCATCTGAACAAGATGTTCAATACATCAAAGCCCTTGTTTGAACTATATGCTGAGTATTTATATTAGGGATATAACTTATGCACCCTGCTGACATTCTGGGAATTGCTTTGTTAGGTAATACTTCTTTCTCAAATGTCAAACTAACAACATTAACTCTGAGCTGTTAAAAATAATGATGCAGATGCTAACTCATTGTGTTGAATATCAGAGGATTACACGTGCTTTCCGAGAAGTACTTATGTAGTAAAGGAGGCATAAATTAACTGGATTGTCAGAATAAAAGTATGGAAGGAAAGGAGTGGGCTAGGAAGGCAAGCGGACAGATGATGCGGAAGGGAACTTGCCAGAGTGGCTAGAAAATTGTATGTTGAGATGTCACTCTAGACCAAGCAGCTGGTAGTTCATAAACGATAATGGAATTTGTGTTCTGAATTTATGAAATGTTACTGTGAAGCTATTGGTTTAATGCTCCTGAATAGGAAATAAAGGAGGATGGAAAACAGAGTACACAGTGGTGTGTAGGGCTTGTAGATAAATGAATTGGGAGTTAAGGAAATTGGACTCTCTTTGTAGAGCTCCTGCAGATTTACTGTTTTTACTTGAATATGTTGATTATTCAGGTGTTAGTTATACAGACTTATGTCCGTATTGTGTATAAGTAGTGGGAAGGGTAACAGGTGACTATCTACAAGAGGTATCCTTAAACACTTCCTGCTTTTTTAAGTTTGAGCTCTGAGATCAGCAAAGGTTTTGCTGGAGAACCTGTTCCTGACCCTTATGTTTCCCCCAAGATCTAATCTCAGAGGCATGTGGGCAACATGAGATGTCCCTAGCAAAACAGGGAAGGATGCACTGAAGCAACGTTCTCCAGAGTAGTATTGACAGAACAGAAGGCTTGTGTCCAAGCCCTGGTTCAGTACACAAAATAATTGGAGACTGGTAAGGTCTCTGTGAACGCTGTCATTCTTGAGCCAAATGACACAACTTCAGCTGCTATGTACCCAGTTCCATAAACAGCTTAATGACTTGATTCAGCAGTCAAAGCTGAAGTGGGTTAAAAGGGCTGAAGGCAAAGCTTTTTCTCATAATATCTGTCCCTTAAAATGTATGAATTGTTCCTAGTGTAGATTAAGCTTTTTCTTCTTTCAGCATGGAAGAGCAAGGAGCATGAGCTTCAGGAACGAACTCATTTGAAGTATTCTTTTAAATTATATTGCCAGGGTTGGTGAAACATAGAAACATATCTAGCAGAAAAAATGCTATCTGAAAAACAGTGGGTTTGGGATGATGTATTTGAACAGACTCTTACAGTACATGAAGACTAT